TGGTCTTTATCTCTTTGCTAATATCTCCAAGGTGCCTTTGAGTGGTGGGGGAAAGTAGGTAAAAGGGATTTCGTCCGGTGCTTGGTTTATAAAAAGCTGCAGTGGCGTCGATGATGTGCGGTTAACGATGTTGAACCTGACACTGGGGGTGTGGCCTGTTGCCAGGAGACAGTCATAACAAACTTAGGGAAGTCTCGCCCCCTCTTCCCTCAAAGGTCTCGTACAGTCTGGACCCAGGTCTGTCTCTCAATGGTCTGTTTAGATTGAGTCATCGCACATGTGTCTCCAGAGCTCAGCAGTTAATGAAGCACATATACAAACCCAGCCATATGTTGTGAAGCTTATAGTGTACAAATGATTGCTGGTATTTTTTTTTTACTTTTAATTTAATGCTCATTTAAAGACAATGTAACTTTTCTGGTAGCTCCTTTATTCAATGACAGATTTTTGATAACATATATTCTAACAGTGAACGGGATCGCATGTCCACAGATGCGATATACACCATGTATCATGCAATTACATCCCCATGGTAACAAGCAAGCAAGCCTCCATCATAGTTACATCCACCTTCAGATGAGTTAATTATATCCTATACTGAATTGATTTCCTTTTATGACTAATATTGTTATGTTCTGTCTTGAATGTTTTGAGTTTAAATGGATAATAATGTTAATCACTGGTTAACAAGTTAATATTAGTAGTTAATGTTCATATTTACAGATGCACAAGAAAGACTGATCAAATATTCTAAAAAAAAAAAAAAAACAAAAAAAACTTCATTCATATTTTTCCCTATTAAAGTTGTTGAACTGTCATAATAATTGAAATTGTCAAGCACAGTATTGGCCACTGCTTTAACAATAGAAACTCAGTATTAAGTCATCATAGACTGCACAATTCTTCTTTCTTTTTTCTTCCTAAACTGTGTAACATCTGGCCAGTAGTGTTGCCAAAACCACCTCATCTCGCTCAGTAGTAGGCTGCCTGATATGTTCGTCAAGGGTATATTATTTCTGTACTTGTGTTTGATTACAATAGGACTTCAGTGTGCGATCTCTGCAGACAGTTCAGAAAGCATCTGCTGGGGAACTTAAAAGAGCCGGATTCACAACAAGGACTTAACACAGCAGTCGGACTGATCCAAGTCGGAAACCACACCCAGATACGGTTTAGAGCTCATGGAGGGCTACAGACAGGGATAGTGGTTTTTAATACGGGGCGAGATTCAGACTCTGGCAAATCATGTGCCACTATGAGTCACTTTTCCTGTCTTTTTCATTGTGGTCATAACAGATGTTGGCAAGGGAAGTTATGAGAGAGAGAACAAAAAGCTGAATTAAAACTAAACCAGAACTAAACCAGGATTTAAAGTGCTTATGACAGGGTAGACTACTCATTTTACTAAAACACAGTTCATTATATGTAAGAGTTTTGCAGAAACATTCATACTCATTTTTCCAATTTGGCAGTTTTTCAGTCTTAAATTTTTGCTTTTTGGTTGGAAATTGTGACATTACACTCGGGAATTTATAACTGTAACCCAGAAAAACGTCTCTAATTTACACAGAAATTATTTACTGACAAATACAAATATAAGAAAACACCTTTATTTTGTTGAAATCAAATTTAGTCTCAGAAAAAATGAGTTCGTTGTGTGAATTGTGCCGAACTTTTGGACAGAATTCTCCATAGAAAATTGCAAGAACTCTTTACTTTTTGTAGTAAAAAAAAAAAAATCTTCTTTTCAAAGTTTTTATATTTTCTTCAATTTGTTTATTGATTGGTGTAAAGCAATAATCTATATTTACAATAGTTGTCAATTGTAATCCCACCAAATTGAGTCAAAATTAGAGAATCATAAAAACTACAGACTGGTACTTGATTTCAAGGTCTAAACCAGGACTAAACCAAGGACTTAATAAGGGCTTATCTAGTTCTTAACTAGTTCTCAACCAAGTCTAACTTAGGATTTAATTGAGCAGTTTTTAGCGTGAGGATCTAAATCAGGACTAAACCAAAACCTAAAAGAGATGAAACACCCAATAGTCCTGGAGTAGACCTAGACCTCTTAACCAGGATCCTTGGTCTAACCCAGAACAAAACCAGGACATTGTGTTAAAATGAGTCTATCAAGCAGAAGAAGTAATTAGTAATTGAAGACTTTGAGAAGGACAGACAGGATGAGTGAGTAGTAGAAACATTAGTGCAAGTGCCAAGAGTGAAGAACAATGCCCGCCCACTGTGTCCCCACATGCTCCACCATAAACAGACACACATTACTGGTAAACCTCAGCAGTATTTTGGCCTGTGGCGTGTGTCATATGGTACACCAAAGCAGTAAGGAGTTGTTTTGAAGTAAATGTTTTTGAGAGACAGAAATATCACAAGGTTTGAATCCATATGAAAAGTCCAGCAATATTTTTAGTCATGTTTGCAAAGTTGCATGCAGTGGTAGATGAAGTATTCAACTTTATTACTTAAGTAAATGTACAGATACAGGGGCAAAAAATTACTCGAGTAAAAGTAAAGGTATCACATTAAAAAATCTACTCAAGTAAAACTATTGAAGTACCTGTTTAAAAATGTATTTAGAATAATTAAAGTATCAAAAGAAGTTATTTTAAAAGATTTAGCTGATTTTAAGTTTTTCTGTATTTGGTTTGCTCAAAGTTGTGACGTTAACTCAAATTAAATGTGCTAAAAATAAGTCTGAGCTTTTTCAGCAGGTCTCAAACCATAAAGAAGTATAAATTATAAAGTACAGATACCTGCTCTCAAATGCTGTGTAGTAAAAGTAAAAATTCCACTGTAAAATGTATTTAAGTAAAGTCCAGATGCCTAAAAATTTTACTTAAGTATTGTACTATTTACTTTTGTACTTCGTTACCTTCCACCACTGGTTGGTTATAGTTGAAGTATTACCTTGTTTTGAACATGCAGTGCCTTGTTTATGAGTAATATTATTACCTAGTTGAGTGGTTCTCAAGGTGGGGTCAAGGCAACAGAAAATTGAGTTTTAAATCAACCTTACATGAGATATTTGTTGTATGTCTTTATATTAGTTCTAAGTTCACCTGAATGTGTTGCTTGAACATATAAATGTGAAAAGAAAATATTACGTTTGTTTTTTTTTATGTTTAGTGTAAAATATTATTAAAGGACCCCTGTGTGATTTTCACTTTGGTAAGGGGGCCATGGCACAGCAGACTTCGGGAATGACTGACCTAGTATAGTAGAATAGTACTAGTAGTGAAAATGTATTATTAGGTACAACTAAAAGTAGTAGAAGTACCAGTTGTAGTAGTAAAAGTATTCTTGTAGTGATATTTTGGTAATGTGCAATGCAAAAATTACAATCAAGCTTATTCTGTTGTCCTAGAATGATCCTGCATTTTTCCGGACACATTGACCGAATTAAGACATTAGCTATGGAAAAACATTCAGAAATAGATTTTATGAACATGAGGCCCCAGAGCACTGTAGTCCTTTTTATTACAGTTCCTTATATCACTACAGGAGGTTACATGAGGGGAGATCTGCCAGTGAGATTGCAGCACATTGCGTTAGACTTGATGTAAGGGGAGGATATGGGCCAGGGACTAACCCAAGAAATTATGAATCAGCTAGGACAGTCAAGGGTTTCTACTTGTTTATTATAGTATTACTTTATAGCAACATAATTACTGAGAGGGGAGTTGTCATGTTCAGACAATATTTGCAGCACGTGTTTTTTCTTACTTTTTGTTTGTATAGACTTAAAGGCGCATTGTGTAACTTTTCTGGTGAAGGGTCCATCAAATGGGTTTTCCCATGGAAATGTTATTGTGTTGTCTGGAATGTTTCACAGTATGGTATTAAACCTTTCTATCTTCATGGAGGCCAGACCAGATCAAGTTGCAGGTCAGATCTGTGGAGAGTCACAGTCAGAATGCCTGTTTTGATTTGTTTTTTTGTTGTTGTTTTTTTTTTTTAGTTATTTTAGAGCTATAAAACCATGTGTAATGAATAAATGTAAGGTAAGTCTATTTAATGTCATACTGTGGAACATTCAAGGCATGGACCCTCCACCAGAAAAGTTAAACTATGCACCTCTAAGACATCAAAATATCAGTGGTATTGTATTATGGTTTGTTGCTTGCAGAATATTGTAATTGAAACCAGATTTTGTTGATTAGATGTGTAGACTAATAGTGCAAAACATTTCTGATTATTATTGAGTATTTTTTGTACAAAAAATTCAAAATACTGCATTATATCTTTATTTTGTTTGTCTAAATAAGCAGAATAGAACATCGTTATAGTACAGTTAAGTGCCATTGTGTTGTAACAATACCTTGCACCTTATAAAACCGGACCTGAGATAACGACTTTCCCTTCTCTATTGTTTGTGCATGTTTAGTGTGTATTTATTTTGTACTTTTGGAACAGCCCCTGGCGCTCTGTTTGTGCCATCTCCTAAAATCTTTATAGTCACGTTGGGATTTTTAAGACGTGACATTTTTGAAAATAGGCCAATACCTGCTCGTAAAGTATTTCTCAGCTCTACGTAAAAAGAGAAGACAGGCGGCTCTGTTCTAGTTATTTATGACCCACAGCTGTTGGGGATGTGCAGAGGATATGATTTACAGCGCGGGTGAGACCTCGCAAAGCAAAAGGCGCAGTCCTACTCTCTTCTGTGAAAAGTTACACCCAAAAGTTATAATGGAAAGAAACGTAAGGCTCTCATAATGGGTTTTCAAGTCAGGCCAGTTCCCGCTCTGCTCTCCGGGCTCGCGCGCTGTTATGTAATCTTTGTGGGCTAAAAGTAAGACTGGTGTAGCCGAGTGCATGCGACAAGTTGCCAGGGACGTTCCTCTTCAAGCGAGCGCCGTAATGGCTTTAATTTAGGATTTACGCACGAAGGCGCGCGAGTGTAGGATGGAGCACTTTTTGGTACACAAAACAAAAGTGGGCTGGGCTTGTGGCAAACTGCCTGCAATCCGAGACGACCCTGTGTTTTTTCTGCTCCTCCGCATGTGCCACTGAGAGGAGAGGGGAGAGAGTTTGGAAAGTTGGAGTAATTCGCGAAGGGGAAAACCAGCAAAGTGTGGGGGCGTTTTTGAGACGGTCCAGAGCGGTTTTGCTTTTACGCACCGCGAAAACACAACGGGACCATGGCCGAGGTGGACGAGGCTCCGCGGGCTGTCGAGCCGGTGTGGTGCGGAATCGTGTACCGCCGGACCAACTACATCCACGAGATGAGCTGTGGCGAAGTGGGTGCTCATCTGTACGGCCGAATGTGTTGCGCAGGTAAGCGGCGATGGCAACTGTCTAGTGCGTGCGCGCGCGGTCAGGAGTGGGAGGTCCAGCAAAGGAGGGGCGGCCAGGGGGTTGAATAGTGGCGTTAACTTTTACTTGCCGCCGCCCACAGCACGAGGCGAATGTATACAACAAGTGTAAGCTATTTTAGTAAGTGCCACTTAACGCGTGTTGATACATACAATAAAACTAGACCAAGACGCAGACTAACAATAATGTTATAACTGCTTTACTTCTTTCGACCTGTTGTCTTAATTATGGAAAATCAAAACCACATGTCTTTTGCCTTCTTCTTCATGGTTTTATTGAAAAGAGAAACACATGTGCAATATGTAACTTAACATGGGGGGTCTGACAGTGCCACCTGCTTGTCTCCATGAACATGCCATTGGATTGCCTGGAATGTTGCAAAGTATGGCTTTAAATGTATATCTTGCATGTATTCATCAGTTACTTAGCCTGGGGTTATCACTTGCTTGTCTCAATGAAGATCGTTATGTACTGTGGAACATTTAACGGCAATAAGATCTCCAGGGAAACAAACATGATGTGGACCCTTCATCAAGAAAGTTACATAGTGCACCTTTAAGATTCTTTATTAAATTATAGGCTTTTATTTTGACAGTTATTTAAAGGTGCACCAGGTAACTTTTCTGATGGAGGGTCTGACACTTTCCTGTCTCCATTATTGCTTGGAATGTTACTTGGTATGGCATTAAACATTTCCATCTGGCATTTATTTATTATGGGTGTTTCTATTGCTAAAGAATACAATAATTCCTTCTGTGAATACGGGCGACTCTCCACAGATCTGACCTTTAATGTAGTGTAGTGCGGTAACCTGCCTGTCTCCACTGTGACAGACGAGCAGGTAGCAGATTCTCCATCAGAAAAGTTGCACATGGCACCTTTAAAAGCACTTTGTCTAAATTAGTATAAAGTTTCATATTTGCTTGTGTGAATTGCTTCTCTTGTTACAGCTCCATTCACAGTTAAATCTTGAATGACACACAAACATAAATGGTGAGTGATTGTAGTGTGGCTTGGGGCCAGTAACATGTTAAAGCAACAGCTCCAAAACCACAAACAGGTCTGAGATCCCAGGATTTATTTTATTGTTTCATTCATATTCATTCAAGTGGAAATGAGTAATATGTTACAGCGTGATTAGTTACCTTTAACTTACTTAGTTACTTTATCTTAGGCAGAAAGAAATGTACAGCTATCATGTAATCTAATATTGTTAAGTCTGACTCATTTGACTATATGCAAACTTAAATTGCTCCATATTTTATAGACAAAACTTCTAAGATTCCCTGATGATACTGACATAATTTAATCACTTTTAATACTCATAGAAATTATGTGTTTTACAAATAATGTTTTCAATTCAGTCTTTACTAAAATGGTTACTTTGTTATGTCCTCTATATTGTTTTAGTTTAACCCTTTTTTATGTACTTTTTATTACCCTGTACTTTTTATTAGGCTGTTCACTCTAGTTCCATGTTTGTTTGTTTTCATGTACTATATTGTGCTAAACCCCTGTACAACTTAATAGGGCCTTATTGCTTTAACAAAACTTCAGTGTCAGACTGTTTTGAATTCACTTACTATAGTATTCCCCACGCAGTTGCTCTTTGACATTGCAGTAGCTTTGGGTTACATTTTTCCCTTATTTCTCTCTTCAGGGTTTTGCTTGACTTGTGACTTCTGTGTGTTTTTACTGCGTTGCCATAGCTTCCCTCAATAACTCTCCCAAGTATCAACACTGGGTCGGCCATATTGACTTTGGACTTTGCTATCCTTTTCCTAGTTCTACCCCGGCTTCGGATTACAGCCAACTACTACTCCCTTTACACCTGTCATGCAAAACACCTGGCTTTTGTTCTCAGTTGCAGTACGCTCATTTGGACTCTAGGGGGAGACATTGTAAATACAGATGCTTTTTGCGTTTTTGGCCACATTGGTAGATCTTAAAGACTGTAATTATCCAGACGTCATATTTTCTTAACCGCAGAACTGAAAACAGCATGTGGAGCTAATTGGCTGTGATTAACAACATTTGGCTGAAGACGTCTGCGTAATTATTAACATTAACAAGAAAAAAAGATATTTTGACATGATAATGATAATTTATTGTTTATCTCTGTGGACTAAGGTCTGTTATTTAGTCATAGGTTTTAATTATGCCTGGTTTTGAACTATTTTGAAAGTAGCAACAAATACAACGGATGGATAACATTTTTAAACATACAAAACTTGCAACTTGATACTGTGGAACATCTCACACAAAGCAATATCATCTCCATGAAAAGAAGCAGGTATTGCAGAGTAATCTTGTCATGGTGCTAAAATTTCAAACTTGATTTGAATACAGAGGAATAGAGTCGATTCCGATACCACTGCACTGTAATAATAACGAATTTTAAAAAAAAAAAACACTTTATTCAGCCTACACAGTATCATTTTCATCATTACATCGTAGTACTTTCTTTTATATTACTATGTGGCCTTATATCTGTGTAATCCCTTAGTTGTCCAGGTAGGTTTAATAGTGGCTCTTATAGTTGATACAGCTCAAGATCATTCTAAAGCTTCAGAAAAGGTCCATTTCTGTCATGTGAATGTTACTTTTTTAGTATCGATACTTGCTCCAGTGAGTATCTTGTTTTGATACTAGTTTTAGTCTTGATTAGTATCTGTTTTTCAGTACTTTTGACAAGCCTATTGCAGAGTTTAGACTTGGTTTTGGTCCATTTGAATCACCACTTTCTCAGTAAAACGCATGTGTCAGAGAGAGCAAAAGTTTTCTTGATATGTTGATGATAGCTATAAAGACAATGGACTGTATTTATTTTCTCAGCTTTGCGCCATGTGTCCTTTTGTACTACAGCTGCACCTGGTTGTTATCTCTTCATCTTTCTTTCTCTCGCTCTCTCTCTCTCCCTCTCTCTCTCTCTGTCTTCTCGTGTCCTGGGGCGTCCTGTTCTCGTCTTTCACCGACTTTTGTTTGAACACAAACCTACAGCAGAGGTGGAAGATGATATGTTAAATACAAAACTATTATCACCATTTACTACTACAGAAAGATACACGTAATTTTTTGCAAATTGACTTTGGGCAACAAAAATTTTTATATCTTATCAGTTTTCAACTAGTTTGCATTAAAATATACTTATTACAATACTCATGTAAACAGCTGCTATTGCTGAACTTCTGTCCCCCATTCACTATACAAAAGCATACACATAAACTTTGCAAAATTGGCTTAAAGTGACAAAATGTTCTTTCTTTCTTTACCAGTTTTCTGCTTAATTACTTTTACTGGTGTACATTACTATAACTATAATACCAAATATAAAACATTCAAATGAGTCCAGGATATTGTACAAGTCGTAGGTTTTAATATGCCCAGAATGTGCAGTTTCTTGTCTTGTTGTGACTTGCTCAGAGGCACAGGGGCAGGACAGGTCGTGGTGGGTCGGGGTGAGAGGCGGCTTCCCCTGCTGCAGAGGAGGGTGGGCGCGCCCTGAACTGGAATGTCCCGCAGTGAAATACTTCTCACGACAGAACTGTCATCGTAAAATACAGGGCAAGCCCCAGGGATGAGTAGATAAACTCTTTTGGTATGTTATGGAGGGAGGATTTGAAGGATGCGGCACTGTGTAACCTTTTTGGTTGAGGGTTCACTTGTCTCCATAGAGATTTTATTGCTTTGCCCAGAATCTTCCACAGTATGGCATTAAACTGTTATCATATATTTATTCAATTACAGGTATTTTTTATTACTCATAAATACCTCGAAAAACATTAAAGGGACCCATCCTTCACAAGTCTCACTCAAAACGTGGCCTGGCAGCGTCTAATTGTCTCCATGGAGATAGGTAAATTTAATGTCGTACTGTGGAACATTCCAGGTAAATGGTAAAACATCTCAATGCATTTTCTGAATTGCATTTTGAAAACCTTTATTTAATTTTACAGATTTTACTTGGTGATGTTGCATTCTCCACATTTAACACTAGATGTCACCAAAAAGACAAAAAAAACAAAAAAAGACATATACATACTTTCTAAATTCAACGTATTTGAATATTTCGTATGGGCAATTTACCATTAGGAAAATATGAACTTGCAATTGCGATATTAAAACAAAGAAAGTGTAAAGACTGAGCCCTACAAATAAAGGAATAACAAAGACAAATACAACTGGCCCAAATATTTTCACCTCGGTTACGTCAGCTCCAACCATGCTTAGTAAATAAATAAGGCGTGCAACCATGTGTAAGAGTGCATTAAAAGAACATTCAAAAAGATCTTGAGAAGTGTCAATCTCTTGGACGCACTTGTTGAAACAGGACTCAAAGGATCTGGTCTGGTCTACGGTGGATTAATACCTGAATTATTCTTGCCCTGACTGGTCCCCTCCTTTCTCAGGCATCTCAAACACGTCTTTACTTTATGGACCTGTGTCAGACTGGCCTGAAAAGTACAAGTTTGAACACCTGAGTAGAAAGACAGCAGTAAATCAAAAGTGAACCGTATTGAGCACTTTCTTTGTTTAAAGCTGAATTATGTAATTTTTCTAGTGGAGGATCTGCAGGCTCCATGGCTGCATTATTGCTTTGCCTCAAATGTTTCACAGTATGACATTAAACTTATCATCATTATTCTCTATGGAGACGTACAAGTGATGCCACAAGGCCAGGTTACAGGTCAGATCTGTGGGCGGGGGAACCTGTCTCTATAAGAATACATGTTTTTTTATGGGTAAAAACAAATAATTTCAATGCTTTACTGCAAAACAAAAATTCCAGAGAGTGATTCATTTTAGCAGTTGCAAGAAATGGAACAAACTTATACTTAGACAAACTTTATTGAACCACAAGGGAAGTTATTTGGACACAGTAGCTCACACATCACAATATATTATAATAACGTAGAGAAAAAAATATAAATGGTGATAATACATTCAAAATAAGTAGCAAA